GTCCAGAGGGGTCTGTCAGCWACCAAACTGCAGAGGAGGGAAATGAGAGGCTTGGACAGGTGCTGCTGGAGGGACCCTCCGGAGCACTGCAAGGCAGGGAAGGGGCTGGCTCGGCTTTTAGGAAATGACAGCGAACTCTGTTCCCTCTGAAGCACTTCTCCAGCACTGGGATCAAATCCTTGTCTGCTGGGCATTTTAAATGATGCCAGAGGGTACCTGCTAAGGTGAGAGACACGCTATGCAGAGACTTCCTTCAATGGTCTTTTCTCACAACTTTTGATATGTTCTGATAGAAATCTGAGCTTGCTGAAAGGTGGATGTCCTTTGAGTACAGGATGGGTAGAAATGCAACCATCAGCCATCAGTCAGCACTTTCTTTTCACTCAGAGTCCCCTGGGACCAATGATATTTTAAAAGCATAACAGTGAAAAAGCAGAAGCAAAGCCTGTGGCATTTCCGAGTTGGGAAAGATTTACATATTCTCAAATGAACTCCCGAGACTCCCAGTGGTGATGTCCCCTCCAAGGGGACAGAAAAGCTATAATTAAACATRATCTATTTTAAAACAAAACTGACCTCCTTCTGCCAGGTGAACCGACTTCACTGCATCCAGCACACCTGCCTTGAAAGATACCACATCCACCTGTGCACAGCATTTATACTGGGAAACACGTGTTTAAAAGGAAGGAGAAGCCTTCAGCCTGGAGAAGGGTCCACGGAGACTTTGGAGACTTCCAGTGCTTAAAAGGAGCCTGAAAGAAGGCTGGAGAGGGAGCTTTTCACAAGGGYGTGCAGCAACAGGGCAAGGGAGAACAGCCGCAAGCTGAAGGAAGGAAGGTTTAGATCAGATATTGGCAAGAAATGATTTATTGTGAGGGTGGTGAGGTGCTGGAGCAGGTTGCCCAGAGAAGCTGTGGATGCCCCAGCSCTGAGGGAGTTCAAGGCCACTTTGRATAGGACTCTGAGCAACCTGGTCTGGTGGAAGTGTCCAAGGTAGGGAAGTCAGAACAAAATGAGCTTTAAGGTCCTTTCCAACACAAGYTCTGTAATTCTATGAGAATTTCTCTGAATCTGGAAATTCTCTCCCAGCCTGACACRACCTTGGGATGTAGYCAGACAAACTCACACTAATCTCRTGCTTTCCCCATGCAAGCAGAGGGGATCTGGTTCTCCTTTCCCTTCCAATCCYACAGGGCTTTCCAAAGCCAATACACCAGTCTAAAAAAAAGAAAAMAGGAAACTTTCTGCTAAGCTGGAAGGGGAAATAGATCATCCAAGGATCAGACATGTGCAAAACTGAGGATCACACAACCAGAGAGGAGCCGGATTGCATTTTTTGGTGGCAATGATGTGTTTGTGCCCCTCCACYGTGAAGCCTGGCTGCATCTGTGCCCCTCCGGGGTGTGCAGCATCGGTGTAAAAGCAAATTGGCTGTGAAAAAAAGCTAACTCACCACAAGAGGGGTTGAGGGATAAGTCAATCAGTCATTTATGCCAGATTAATTWCACCCATTAAACCACACTTGGAACTCAGAATTGAAGCAGGACAATGAGCAGGAAAGGTGAGAGGGCATAAGAGTGGCAACTTCTGCTGGTCATCTACCACAATTAGCAAAAACTTCCAGTCCAAACTTTGCCTGTTTAAATGCAGCGATATCCACCATCACACTGCAAAAAGGATACAAATGTCTCAGCGATACAACAAATGCAAAAAAAGTTGTTGCTGTCAGGGCAACATGAGGTCATGGGAGTTATTTGGGTTCATTCCGATCTAACTGGAAAAAGGAAACGATGTGGGTGACAGGAACTTCTGACCTATAGCCTTACAAACTTGGTATTTAGGCATATAATGGTATTTTGTGTGCAAAAATGTAGCTTGTCTAAGTTTAATTTTCCTTGGTTTTTTAGTTTTTTTTTAAAGGAATTCTTCCATATAAGAAGCACTCAACAGAAGAAGTAAAACAGAGTCTACAAGCAAAAAGCAGGAGGCTTTAGCTGGGTTTCTGTTTCTCCAGACAAACTCTTACAGCAGGTTTCACTCTGGATAGACTGACAGACAGAAAAAGGAGTTCCTTAGTTCCACTGCTCTTTTGAAAGATTTTTTTCTTTTCCCCCGCATATCTGGAACAGGAGACAGAAACTCATCCGAAAAATGAAATTAAAACAGTGGCTGAAGGCACTAAGAGGAATAAAGCAGAAGCTCAATTTGCATCCAGTGGTCAAATGGGCAAATCCRGAACGTAAAGAAAAATTTCTGCCATCTCCGCTGTGCCCTGGCACAACCCACACCCGAGCTGGCACAGAAAATAGACACCAAGCACCTAAACCCCATTGCTAGACACTTCAATATTTCGGAGTGGCCACAAAACAGGGAATCTTTCTCAGGCCTTGTTGTCCCTTTCTGAAACCCAGCTCCACTCCGAGCTCTTTATTGGCAGTAACACAAGGGAAGGGGATTCCCAGAATGAGTTACTCGTGAGCCAGTGCTCACTCACTGAAGTGGATATTCCCCATCCCTTCCCAACTCTCCAATAACTGAGAAAAGCTTTAGGGAATTTTCCTCAAAACTTCCCACAAAATTTCACCCCTGGGAAGAAACCAAGAGCTAAGTGGTCCCCAGCTGGAAGAAAAGACTCCAGGGAAGTTTAAAAATACTCCATGGGCRCAAAGCCGGGCTCGCTGGGTCCCTGCAGTCAGTGCCTATGTTTTGTTTGCACACAGGGCAGGGAGAGATCATACAGAGGAGCTTCAAATTGTATTTTTCTAGCATAGCAAACTGGGACTAAAAACATCCTACAGTGTCTAGACAGGTGTGAAGGTGMAATGGCAGGACAAAAACAGTCATACTGGGACACTAGCAGTGCATTCGGATTATAAATAAAAAAATTGTGCGGTAACCAAGGGTGTTCTGCCACTTTTCCCATTGTACTGGACAGCAAGRTGCTGTTCATGGACATCAATGTCTCCAGCAGCAGATGACATCCCAGAAGCAGCTCTAAATTACACTGGGAATTTCACTGGGGCACCTCAGGTGAACATCAGAGTAGAAAATGCAATTCAGAGGGAAACAAATAGATTTCCATAGCTTGGACATACATTAAATTCCTATGAAACACAATCTTCAAATAATCCCTTTAAATTAAGCCCCCCATTAATGCCTTCCACTGCTCCAATGTGAAAATTCAGCCTGGCAATCCCTCTGTTGCTCTTTTGCTCACATGGGATTTACAGTAGGCACCTATTTCCATCCTGGAATGCCACCTGGCCTTTTGGAGTGCTACTTCAGGGAGGTGTGCCAACATCAGAACACCTGGGCTAAACCAAGGACACAGGCTCTGGGRCAGCCCTGACTGTGCCTTGATGGGGTCAATCCTGTAAATGCTGGCTGTGGTGACTCGCTCAATATCGTGTGGGAGGTCACTGCCAAGGTGATGGCAGACACCCAGGGCTTCAGTGTTTTGTCACAACAAGGTCAGAACTCGGTCTTTGTGGTCCCTGTGGGCAACTGTGAGAAGGCATCAATAAAAGCACCAGTAAAGCTTTTAAAACCCACTCCTTTGTGGGTACTGTCCCACGTATTGTCAGGGTGCACTAATGTCAGAATACTGATCTTCAGAGAGAAAGGGTTCAGAGGGTGTGTGTGCATAGACAGAGAAGTAAGTCCATCAGCTGTCCTGTTGTTATCAGTCTGCCAAGCCCTTGCTCCTGAGGCACCAGGACTTCCACAGACATGTTGTGTGAGAAGCATCCAACAACTGTGTCCCAAAACTACAACTGTACAAACAGTTTTCAAATGTTATCAAACTCCTACTGTTTCTAGTAATGGATATTAACATGCATCAAACTATACATCCAACTGTACATCCGTTGGCCAAAGAACCAGCATCCTTTTCAGAGAAATTACGTGACTGGCAAATTACCAGACGCTCATAATTACATTAATAACATACCACAAACTCTTAAAGTACAGAGAGAGAAACAGCTCTGCTCATGAAAGATTGTTTGCCTGATGTAATTCAGGTAAAATATATGTGTGGTTCACAAATACTTCCCCTACAGATGTAGGGGAAGGAGTGAGGGGAAGACGGAAGAGCAGAGATCCAAGAGTGACATTTGAAGCCATTGCTTTCTTTACAAGCAAGCCCTGACMTTCATTCCCTGCTAAATTCTCCAAGTTTTGTCTTAAAATTCTGCGACTGAAACTCACAATGAAACCCAGCATCAAATATCTCCCTGCTTCACAACAGCAGCATGAGAAGCTCCTGATTTTGCATTTCTTGATTTTTGACAAAATCCTCAGTGCAGCCCAGGTTTGCTCTGAGTATCGTTAGCCGCAGTGAAATACTAAAATGCCATAAGCACAACTTATTTTGCACCCACAACGAACCCCAGCTCAGAAGTGAATTTTGTGTGGTTTCAAGGTTAACATTTCACACATCTGAGAAGACTCATCCCAAACCTCCTGAGGTGAGGAGGGATCTGTGTGAGCTTTGGAGCAAGTCCTCGGAAAAGGACAGAGGACAGCCCAGGCAGGACTTTAACAGGGATTCGTGTTGTTGGAGAAAGAGCTCACTCTGCTCTGTGCTGAGGAGGCGCAGAACACTCCAATCTCACACCTCTCCCTCTTTCCCACCATGCACTCAGTTTTAACCATCCAAAAAGCTGCAGAAACCGCCCCGCCACTGGAGCTGAAGCCCAAGGGGCTGCACCACGTGCTGCCAACAGACATGATATGACTGAAAATATCCTCATTTCTCTCACCCTGGCTGGGATGAGGGCCCACCTTGCCCCTCTGGGAGCCAGCAACCTGGTGCAACGCCTGGGAAGCTGAGAGCTCAGGGCTCCTCAGTGCAGTGCCAGCCACCCCAACCCCTGGCCTGGCTCAGCCCTGGCAGGAGGCACCAGGAGTGTCCTGGGGGTCACCATGCCCTGCTGACCGTCACACGGGTGCTGCTGCTGGGCCCAGCCCCTTCCCACCCTCCCCTTCTGGSTCCTGCTTACCTTTCCCAAGGCAGAGCAGCACCAAGAGCCCGAGCCCCAGCCAYGTCCTCAACACCAGCGCCGGTGGGGCGGCGGGCAGGTTCACCATCTTCTGTAGCTCCTGSGTGTCACAATCCGGCAGGACAGCGGGGAAGGTTGGGGGAACAGTGCCTGGGGAGTCACAGCAGCCTCCACTGTGCCYCTCTCCTTCCTGCCCTGCCACCACAAAACCCCGACTCAAGCCCAGCCTGCCCCTGGCATCTGCTGTGCTCCAGCGGCACCGAGGCCACCCCCGAGGCACGGAGGAGGCAGGGGCTCAGTGCCAGGCCATGGCTGCCTGGCTGCTGTCACGGGCTGCCGAAACCCTCCCTGACAGGGTGCAGGGGAAGTCTTGGTGCCGGGCGGGTGCTCGGCCTCATAAGTCACCTCACACCGCCCACGGCTTCCTYGCGGGGCGTGCGTCAGGATGCAGCGCCCGCCGCCCCCGCCACCCCGGCGGGCATGGGACTGCCTGCATCCCTTGGGATGCTTTGGCTCTTCCTCCAGCCAGAAGGGGCTCAGGCTCCAGGGCTCTGACTGTGAATGTGAGTGTCAGGCGGTGCTGGGGGCTGTGGAGCTTCAAATGCAGCCAAGTGAAACTCCGATACTACTTTGGGAATAGTTGTACAAAATTAGGTTTGAAATTTTAAAAAATGCCAACATCACCATTACAGGCACAGCTGGATGTAACCCATCAAAAAATGGATTTTCCAAAGAAAATTTAAGAAAGATTGCTTAGGCTGCACATGATGGATGCCATRGGTGAGCACCTGGACAGGGAGCAGGATGTGCCACCAGCACCAAATGGGGATGGTCGTGGTGTCACCAGAGAGCATCCACTGTCCCTCTGAAAGGAGAGGGAGCACATGCCTCCCCAGCATTGTCTCCTGCCTTCTCTGGCACCCACTGCTCACCCAAGGCCCCAGCTCTGGATGGGGCAGGGGACAGGCATGGACCCTCCCTGCTTTAAACCTGGAAGGCAGAGCCATCACCACCCCTAACAAAGCCAGTCAGGAGCAAATCCTGGGCAGAAAAACAAACCACTTAGTAAATAAGAGCYTGAGGGGTTAAATGCATGCTAAGGGATGTACATTTGCACAGATACAGCACACCCTTCTACAAAATAAAACAAGCCCAAGCATAGTGTAAGGGGTTGTATTTTGTGTAATAATCGTAGCGAGAGGGTTGCACACCAATGAAAACCTGGTATTCCTCAAGGAGAAAATAAAAAGCGCAAATATATTTAAATGCAGATTTCTGGTTTGCTAGTTTAAATTACTTTGATTTCAATGAAATGTGTCCTTTTTATCAGAAATGATTTGCCACTACATTGCTCCAGTTTTTCTTCAGTACAGGTCCCTCGAATTAGATAGATTAGAYGGACTGGGTTGAATTACAAATCAGAATTTCATTTTGACATAATTAAAAGGAYGGTATTCTACAGAGAAATCAAATACAGGTTATAATGTTTCTGTAGAGAGAAAATCACTGTACATGAAATGGCTGAGAGGAGTCTGTTAGTGAGTCAGACCGAGACTTTCTCCATTGCAGGGTTTCTGGTGCCTGTTTTGTGTTCTGGGCTCTGATCTAAATCCTGTAAATTTGTACCCTGTCCATGCATTTTCTACTGGCATGGGTCACAAATGCAGATGACAGTAGCACCGTGTGTTTACATCGACATGTTTTCGTGGCACTGGGAGAAGGAGAAAATACCATCAACACAGCCATCGGTACATTGCTTCCCCAAGTCACAGCAGGGGACGGCCTCCCTGTGAGTCAGATGGAAGGACTTTCTCCTGTTAATTTAATCRTGAATCCTTATCATAACAGAATTACTAGCAAACCTGTTACAGCTGCACAGTTTATCACTTCACTTTCATTTTAAATTCAAGCCTTTTTTAATATATATATTTCTGCCATTAGCATATTACAACTAGAAGGAAACTCCAGCCTGTTTCATCTGTGCCTGCATTTCTTCTTCAAGACTTAAAGCTGCTTTTGGATGAGCAGTCCCAGGGGAAAGTAACTGAGCTCATCAGCTGCCAGATCGTGTAAGTACCACAGTAGCAGAGTAAGAAAGTACCACAACTCCTTATTACACACAGAGGAACCYGGACCAGCTGGTCCCTTCATTAAGGCTGCCTAAATTTTAGCTAGACAGCTGAACTCATGGATGCTTTTCTCAGTCAGATCTCCTTCTTTTTTCCTAGATATTATGGGTTTTCGTACCTTGTTCCTCTGAGATCTCGCTGATTGCAAGGAGACTGTGATAACAGAGAGGGGGGAACAGCCCAGAAGTGCTTTGATCAGAGGCAAAAGTAATAATTTTTCCATCACTTAAAGCTTCCTTAAGCACATATCATAACCCTGATTCTTGGAATCCATCAGGTCAAGGGAAGAGGTTATTAWGCATCTTTAGGATGTTAACAAAGTTGAAGGACTCATATATATTGAAGTMACTGCTTTTTTTGAGCACTGCAGTGGGTAATATAAGCCCACCAATTCCCAGCAAAATCCCCATAAAAATAAGCTTTTTTTGTGCATTTGATTTGGCCTTCAGCGTTTCACCTCTATGTTCTTCAGAAACAGGTTTAAACAGGTAGAAGTATTGCAGCTTGAAAAGAGAAGCTAAGATTTAATAAGAAAGAGTGGTAAAGTTCTGCTAAAAACATCTACTGCAGAAAAGAGGAAGATGTGAGAGCATCACACTCCCGATATTTTTCCATTACTTTCACAGAAAACCGTTAGGGAAAAAAATCAGAAAAGACAAGTGAAATTTTGCAGCATATGTGCTGCGTAGGGGAAATTAATTCCAGTAATCAGCACTTGTGGTAGAAATCCTTTGCACTCAAAGGGAAGTCTTTCCAAATACATTGCTGCTAGCTTTCTCCTGTGGACCCACTGACATCACCAACTTTTTCCACCTCTGCAGAAATGCCAGTCAAACATCATTACTTTGAACGTTTATTATTTGATAAAAACATACAAAAATCCCAACCTCCCTCTATTTCTCAATTGACATCTCAGAGAAATATCAGAAAGGTCAGAACTGGGTAAATACTGAAAACCAAAACCAGCACCTATTATCCATTGAAGATTCATAACCACACTCCCTCCTACAGAACTGGGATACCTTTTACTGTTTTCAACATTCCAATCTGTGTTAATCTGAACTAAAAGCCCATCTGCTTGCTTTTGATACCAGAATGTCCAGGTCGAATGGGAAGTACCCAAGATATGTTTCCGGAGGTGTACATCACCAAAAAATGGTTGAGCAAGTGTTCTAAAAATATCTTTGTCAGAGAAATGATCCTGTTRTAAAGCACAATAACATTTTTAGGGATTCTTTTTTCACAAAATCCTGGAATTAGGCTGGAAAAGACCTTTACAGCTGTGGAGTCTGACTGTTAACCCTGCACTGCCAAGTCTACCATTAAACCATGTCCCTGAGCATCACATATACATGGCTTTTAAATACCTCCAGGGATGGAGATTCATACCCTGGGCAGCTTGTTCCAGGGCTCAATAACCTTTTTGGTGAAGATTTTAGTTCTGACATTCAATATAAACCTCACTTGGCACCATTTGAGGCCATTTCCTCTGGTCCTGTCAGCATTTGATGGCTCCAATACCACACAGGCTGTGTGGAATAATGAACTGAATTCAGCTGGCAACACTCACTCATTTCTTAGTGGAATTATATGACAACTTTTTTCTTTTCCTGTAGAAGGGCAGAAAGCAGCCTTRCCAAAGTGGTCCCAGCATCCTGAGAAGCTAAGCCTTTCACAGCAAGATTGTCTTCTACGCAATATCAATAGCAAAATRAAATAACTTTGTGAAGTAAGAAGARAATCCAGCGGTTTCAGGTTACAGAAAATCCCTTTCATCTTACAAAAGAAAATAACAATAAAGAAATATCATACAGCTCCAGAGACTTCTTGTTTTTTCCCCTAGCTGTCCCCAACCTTCAGACTCTAAAACTGGCAAGATTTGACAAAGTAAAGTCTTCATCTTGGCACAGATTGGAACACAAGCATCAGCTTGTTAGGGGAAGGGGAGGAATGGAATGGAATGGAATGGAATGGAATGGAATGGAATGGAATGGAATGGAATGGAATGGAATGGAATGGAATGGAATGGAAAGAAATGGAATGAGGAAAGAAGGGAAAGGAAAGGAAAGGAAAGGAAAGGAAAGGAAAGGAAAGGAAAGGAAAGGAAAGGAAAGGAAAGGAAAGGAAAGGAAAGGAAAGGA